TCACTCGTATCTGACATCCATGCATTACTATTTCCCATAGGCTCGAAGCTCGGGAACGCGATATTTCGTAGACAGATTTATTAGGATCTGGCAAAGGGGCCATTACCTGGTTGGTTAATGCCTACTCCTGGCTACTCTGGTAAACGGTTTACAAGTTTCACACTGAGGGTTTATGGGAGAAGCCAGAAAACAATGAACAGCGGTGTGTACATCAAAGGGATCAAACTACAGTGACCCTGGTGGTCAAACGATTTTTTTATGGGGAAATTGGTTTGAGCGTTTTGGAGTTTAGAATGATCCAGGCCTACCAAATGAAGTGCACAATGCTTATTCAAAATGTGAATGGTTTTGATCCTAAACGCCCAAATGCTGGATCGAAAGGTTCATCCTAAGTATAATTCTGGTTGATATAATGCAAAAGAAGGAAAGATATCACAAAGTATACTGAACCTTTTTTTGTTTTTTGGGCCAATGCCAAGCTGCACAAGTGTTTATGTAACCATATCCATCAGTTTAAACGAAGATATGAATGCGATTGACCTGGCCAGTGGCTGGTTAAAATCACAGGCTAAGATCAGGTTGTTCAATGCAAATTGAAATGAAACAATCTATCTTCACTCGCAGTATCGGAGCCATTTCAAGAAGTTAGGGGTTGCAAACGCAACCCGATGCAAAGTGTGAAGATTTAACAGATAGATTGGATAATGAAAGCCGATCTTATGTTGAGAAATAGGAGCATCAGATGATGAAGAGGAAGAAGCATCAAAGTCAATCATGGGTACCGCATCAAGCAAAGACGAAATGAAAGAAGAGGAAGCTGATGAAGAGAAGGAGGAAAGCAGATGATATTGAAAGACACTAAAACTTAACAGCATTTTACTGATTACAAATTGATAAATGTATATGTATTAATATTATTAATGAAGAAATTCATGGTATAACACTTTGTTTACTCGTATTACCACATGTTCTACAATTCATTATAATTGTTATAATTCATTTTATCTTCTAGTTTGGATATCTGCAGTACAGATGGCTAGAGGCAGAGCGAGTTATGATTCTGACGCATCCGGTATGTGGTTCGCGTGGAGCGTCGTAGCTCTGCAACGCAAGTGCCCATAGGACGAGGAGGGTCGATTCCTCGTCGTCTTATCTAGGTTCTGATATCTGCAGTACAGATGGCTAGAGGTAGAGCGTTTGATTCTGACGCGTCCGACAGTGGTTCGCGTGGAGGTCATGGCCCTGGATGCAGTGCCCCTGGACGAGGAGGGTTGATTCCTCATCCTTCATCAGGTACGTCTGGGGCTTCGTCATCTGCTCAGCGACCAGTATTGCCGCCATCACATCCTTCTTCAGGTACGTCTGGGGCTTCATCCTCTACTTAGTGTCCAGTACTGCAGCCATCACGGCCTTCTGCTCCTTCCTCTTCTGCTCCTTCCTCTTCTACCCCCGTTTTTGGACCAGTACAGACTCCACCAGCTGCACAGTCACCTACTGTGCAAGGTAATGATAAACATTTGTCATTTCTTTGTAGCTTCATCAAGAATGCCACGTAATCCACCCTCAGTATTGGTAGCAGGAAGCAGTAAGATACTTATATCAAATTTTCCTGTAGGCATATTTTTTGTACTTATTTCTAACGTGATGCTTTGGGTGTAATTAATATTTCCACTCTATTTTTTTTATCAGCAATAATATCCATCTTCTCGAGCAGCAAGGCAAATTTTGAAAAGATAATCAAGCTACCAGCTGCAGTAATAGAAGGATACACATGGGAATGCCGTATCCACAAGAGGCGAGAGAAACTTTTATTGGGAGAGGGAGTTCCAGGTACTCTTGGTTTAAGTGTATAGTCACATTCAAATCGTTACAAAATTCCAAGATACAGTTCTTAGTGTTTTAAAACGCTATAATTTCATTTTTTTGGCAGAAACATCAATATGGGAACTGAGCGCCATTACCATTACGGCTATGCTGAAAGTAGCCTGGGAGAAGATATGCGCCGATCGATACGCTGACTTCACCTATAGGATGAGAAGAAGCGGTAAGAAACAACGGTGCGTGTCTCAGGAGATATGGGAGAGCTGGCAAAAGGCTTGGGAGGATCCTGCATTCAAGAGAAAGCGGGAGATGTTTGCACAAAACAGGCGCAGTGAGACTTTGCACAAAACAGGCATAGTGAGACTGGCGGTGATGGAGTAGGACCTTCTCGACACACAGGCGGATCAATATCTGCTATAGAGACAACTCGATTATTAGTAAGTAAACTAGTCACAGTATATGAAACTGATGTTTAATGAAAGGACACTATCTATATTAATATATCATGCATAAAAATTCATTATAGGCTAAAGAATTTGGTCGTGAGCCAACACCGATTGAGGTGTTTACATATACTCACACGAAGGACCACGATCTTAATACGTTTGTCGACAGACGTGCGCTGAGCGTCAATGTAAGTAACAATGAATTATTATACCTCTAATCAATGCGAGATGTTACAAAGTTCAATCATAATAAAGCTTGCAATTGCATTGATTATTTAATTTTTATTTTCAGGAGAACTATATACAGCTCGGGAGCGTATGTTATTCTCAAAGAGCGATGAATCCGAAGCTGAGTCAAGAAATTGACGAGTAGCGCTTTATCTCGAGGCTCTACAGGGGGCGAAGAAATAGAAGAGGAAGGTATCGGCAATCGGGTCTCAGGCATCCAGTTTTACACTGGCTCAGCAGTTCACCTTCTATTTGAGGCGGGTCTCAGGCATCACAGTTTTACTGCGGCTCAGCAGCTCACGCTTCTACAGCCAGCGCAGCACCACAGCCGGAGCACACTGACGGGCACTATACTGATGATATACGGGCTCAGCTTGCTGATTAGCAGAGACAGATTGCAGAGCTTAGAGCGCATGTGATGCGGCTGTCCGTTGAGCCCGGTACTGGTACTTCTTCCTCTGATCCTGCGCCTGCTACAGACTGATATGTTTTGACGTCTCAGCAGCAGCCAATACCGGCTCCTCATCCCAATGCTGCAGACGATACCTTGGTCACCCCTCCTGGCGCTACATCACCTCCAGCAGGTACTCCTCCCGGCGATCTGACATCGGGAGATCCGACATCTCCTGCAGATGAGACAGCAGCAATAATATAGATTTTATTTTCGACCTTTTTATTTTTTTCATTTGAATTTCACATATTTTAAATTTGTCAGAACATACAAAATTACATTGTTTATACTGTTTCTTGAATTGCGTGTGGTGTATATATGCATTTTATGTCAACTTTCCAGGTGCATGGAAAAATTTTGGTTTCAAAATAGATATTTATTTTTTTTTATTTTGTTTTTTCCAATTTTTCAACCGGGATCTTGCGAACACCGATCTTGAATACCAAAAATAATATTTTGAATTTACAATTTGCGACCTATTTGGCGACCGATTTAAAAAATTGCGACCCTGATTATTTGGCGATCCAAAATTTGCGACTGGATTTGCAATTAAAACCAGAACCAAAAATTGCGACCGATTATTGTCAAATTTGCGACCGATAAAATCGGTCGCAAATTTGCTGACCGATGGGACAATCGGTCGCTAAATTGATTTTGGCGACTAGTTGATTTTGCGAACCGACACCTACGGTCGCAAAATAGTCGCTACTGTGAAAGTAGCGACCGATTTTGTCATTTTTGCGACCGATTGGTCGGTCGGCAACATGACGTTTTTTTTGTAGTGTATTGGTACCCTTATTATTATATGCTTATTTGTCAAATAAATATAATAGTTCAAACTATTTAATAATCGTCATTAGTTAAATCTTAAAATAAATAAAATAAACAATCACCTTAATCTTCCAATAAAAATTCTATTAATAATCAATGTTTGATTAATTTGAAAACAATTTAATATGAATCATTTAATTTTTAGTACATTAACATAAGGTAATATTAACAAAAAAAAAAAAATGAATCAAAAATTAATAGTTTACCTATAATTTAACTAAAATTTTCTTAATTTATGTGCAAGTCAAACTAGAACACAAATTGAAATGGGGACGAAGGGGAGTAGCAATTTAATAAATATCAATTAATATCAAAATTTATAATTAACCGGTATGAGGGGATAGATTTCTATATTAAATTATCAAATTATATCAAATAATAATCACATTTCAACATTTTAACTTTTTTTTTTCTCCATCTCTAAATTAAATTTCAGCATTGCCTAATCTATACTTTTCAAACCTTCCTATTTAATTAATTCCTCATTCTCAACACTAAAAATATTATAGTTGCAATTTTCTACCATTCATTCTACTTTATTCATACCAAGAATTTTTATTTTTCAAAACCATCAACTAATGGTGATTTTATATATATCTTTTAAATTTTTTTTCTCATTGAAAATAGCGCAAATAATATTGCTGGTTGTTTATAAAACAATTGTATGTAACTTAGATAAACAAAATTAAAAATGGAAAAAATGCGCAATTTTGAATCTATACAAATAGAATTTAGATTTTAAGATTTCAAATCATCAATTAGAATACATAAAATTTAAAAATGGAAAAAATGCGCATTTTGATTCTATACAAATAGAATTTAGATTTTAGATTTCAAATCATCAATTAGATACATATATAGATTATAAAAATTTACACTCGCAAAATGTTAATTTAAGACTTACTTATGGGGTTAGGCTTATAATTGGGTTTTGTAAATATTAAATTAAAATATAAAATATTTTTTCACTTCTAATTTTAATATTAATTTATCTAATCTATACATAATTTAATAAGTTGTAATACTAGGTTTAATATTCTATAACATAATATAGGCTATTAGTCTAAACAAAATTATAAGGGCATGATACTTTTTTTTTTTAAATTGTAATTTCACTTATCTTGAGTTTTTGCTATTTATGTAGCATATAATTTTGGATCTCAAATTTTTAAATGTAATTTAATTTAATTACTATAATAAATGCAATACAAAATATATTAAAATTAATTACAAAGATCGACCAATTCATCTACTGCCTCGTCTATCTCTTCCTCTCCTTTCCTCCTCATGAGATCACTCATTTCTTTTGCTTTCCATCTTACATCCTTACCATCTTCTTCCAAAACCACTTTTCTTATTGTTTTCGCTATTTCTTCTCTTTCAAGTCCTCTATTCTCATTTCCCTCTATACCAACACCAATGTTCTCTACTATTCTTGCATTTATAGGTTGATCAAGGTTCATGGGCATAGCTATTATTGGTACACCAAATTTCATATTTTCCATCACAGAACTCCATCCACAGTGACTCACAAAACCTCCAACACTAGAATGCTTTAGTATTCTTGCTTGGGACCATCAACAACTATTCCTCTTTCTTTAACCTTCTCAAGGTATCTCTTAGGTAATACTTCTAACTTTTGCTTCTCCTTTCCAATAGTAAACCTAACAACCCATATGAAATTTACCATACTATGTTCTAGCCTATGAGCTATTTCATCTATCTTTTGTTGAGAAAGGAAATACTCGCTACCGAATGAAACGAACACAGTTGATGAACGTTCTTTCTTCTGAAGCCACTCAAGAATCTCCATTTTCTCTCCATGATCATAATCTTCATTTACAGGGTCTTGAACAAGAGAGCCAATAGGAACTATCTTCTTATTTAACTTCATATATACATAATTAATATATTTTCCTTCAATTTCTCTGAAAATCCTGGATAAAATCTAAAGAAAATATCTTTTGAAGCATTCAAGAGTCCTATCTCCATTTTTTAACCCATTTCAAGACGACTCCAGTACTTCTGAAAGCATGTTTCTTAGAAACCCTAGAGCATAAATTTTTGCGAAAAGGAATTTTTCATCTGAGTTTTTATAAAAATGACCAAAACAACTCATAGCAAAAGAAGCAGAAAGAAAGTTAACAGAAGGTATATTCAGAGAAGAAGTAAGAGTAGGTACCCAAGGTTAGAGAAAATCATAAATGAGCACGTTAGGTTTTAAAGTCTCGAGAATGCTAAAGAAGCTAGGACTAGCCATATCAAAAGCTTCCTTTAAATTACTCATTACATGGGGTGGTAAGCCATTTGTGGTACGGTAATGAGAGGGAAGCTCAGGCAAAGTTGGAAGATGGAGCTCTATAAGTTGTATTGAAAGGGAGTCTTTAGAAGACAGTTTTAGCTTGATAGTGTTCAAATTTATAGGTGTAGAACAAAAATAGATATAGAAGTTGCTGTTTGCAAGCTTCCTGGCTAGCTCTAAAAATGGAGATATATGGCCATGAGCTTGGCTAGCTCTAAAAATGGAGATATATGGCCATGAGCTAGCCATGGAAACATTAATACTTTAATAGTACTTCTTTGTCTTTATCTTGTCACAATTCCATTTATGGTAGAAAGTGTTTGTTTTCAGTATCTTGTTATTAATAGAAGATTTTCATTTATAGAAAAGAGATTTGAAATTTAGAAAATTGTGTGACAGAAAAGAAGAGTTGTAGAAGTGATTGATGTCATTTCGAAAATTGCATGGAAGCTAGAAAATAAGGCTAGTGTTAACACTTACATAAGTGTGTATAAGTATACATGTTCATTGTGGATATGAACATTCTACATATAATATATTTTCATTGAAAAATACTTGCATACACCTAGTGTATGAGTTCACTCCATATTTGCATTGTATCACATTAGGTTTTAAAGTCTCGAGAATGCTAAAGAAGCTAGGACTAGCCATATCAAAAGCTTCCTTTAAATTACTCATTAGATGGGATGGTAAGCCATTTGTGGTATGGTAATGAGAGGGAAGCTCAGGCAAAGTTGGAAGATGGAGCTCTATAAGTTGTATTGAAAGGGAGTCTTCAGAAGACAGTTTTAGCTTGATAGTGTTCAAATTTATAGGTGGAGAACAAAAATAGATATAGAAGTTGCTGTTTGCAAGCTTCTTGGCTAGCTCTAAAAATGGAGATATATGGCCATTGGCTAGCTCTAAAAATGGAGATATATGGCCATGAGCTAGCCATGGAAACATTAATACTTTAATAGTACTTCTTTGTCTTTATCTTGTCTCAATTCCATTTATGGTAGAAAGTGTTTGTTTTCAGTATCTTGTTATTAATAGAAGATTTTCATTTATAGAAAAGAGATTTGAAATTTAGAAAATTGTGTGGCAGAAAAGAAGAGTTGTAGAAGTGATTAGTGTCATTTCGAAATTGCGTGGAAGCTAGAAAATAAGGCTAGTGTTAACACTTACATAAGTGTGTGTAAGTATACATGTTCATTGTGGATATGAACATCCTCCATGTAATATATTTTCATTGAAAAATACTTGCCAACACCTAGTGTATGAGTTCACTCCATATTTGCATTGTATCACATTAGGTTTTAAAGTCTCGAGAATACTAAGAAGCTAGGACTAGCCATATCGAAAGCTTCCTTTAAATTACTCATTACATGGGGTGGTAAGCCATTTGTGGTATGGTAATGAGAGGGAAGCTCAGGCAAAGTTGGAAGATGGAGCTCTATAAGTTGTATTGAAAGGGAGACTTCAGAAGACAGTTTTAGCTTGATAGTGTTCAAATTTATAGGTGTAGAACAAAAATAGATATAGAAGTTGTTGTTTGCAACCTTCTTGGCTAGCTCTAAAAATGGAGATATATGGCCATGAGCTAGCCATGGAAACATTAATACTTTAATAGTACTTCTTTGTCTTTATCTTGTCTCAATTCCATTTATGGTAGAAAGTATTTGTTCTCAGTATCTTGTTATTAATAGAAGATTTTCAATTATAGAAAAGAGATTTGAAATTTAGAAAATTGTGGGACAGAAAAGAAGAGTTGTAGAAGTGATTAATGTCATTTCGAAAATTGCGTGGAAGCTAGAAAATAAGGCTAGTGTTAACACTTACATAAGTGTGTGTAAGTATACATGTTCATTGTGGATATGAACATCCTACATATAATATAATTTCATTGAAAAATACTTGCCTACACCTAGTGTATGAGTTCACTTCATATTTGCATTGTATCAAATGTATTTCTAATCATTCACTGGGGAAAAAAATAGAATAGTAATAATTAAAAAAAATCTTCATTAATTGATTTGGCATATGAAACCACCCATACAACAAGTGTAAACAAACTTTATCCTTTTTATTTAGGGATTGACTTTCCTTGTGCAGGTTTATGGCCGCATCTATGAAACAAACCAAAGAAAATAAAATTTTTTATTAAAAAGAGAGTATTTCTGACCATATACTGAGACAAAAATAAAGTAGGAACAATTTTTTGAAGATTCTTATTTTCATTGTCATATAATCACCTCCTTCCATCCAAAATTACTCAAATTTTCCCTTAGTCTGCCTTATAAATTGAGGTCAAAGGAGAGAGAAAATAAATAAAAGATAATTTCTATCCTCATAACCCCTTATCTCTAGCCACCTTATCCCTAACCATATTCACACAACCACTGTCACCATCGCTACCGCCTCCACCATATTAATCACCTTCTTCATTTCAATTTGTCAAAACTCTCAAAATTCACCTTTTTTTCTTAAAGGATTTCAACAACCTTCCTACTGAAACCACACTTTGGGTTCATCAAATTTCCCTTTTACTCTCTTTTTGTTTCCATAGAATCATTAGTATTAATTCCATCGTGCAATGGTATATGGCCAAGATGAAATTTTTATGGAAAGAAAGCTGTAGTTTGGGTTTCTAGGAATACAGGTAATTTTCGTGGATTTACAACCACAAAAGGAAAAATAATAACATTCCAAAAAAAAAAAAAAAAAAATACCACATAAAGGAAAAATAATAAATTCCAATAAAAAAAAAAAAAAAAAAAAAAAAAAGGAAAGAACTTTCCCCCTTTCCATCCCCTATACGCACACTGATTACTCACAACCACGCAATAAATCCAACCCCTAAACCCGCCTTGGACGACCTTGAACCCCATGCTGCTTGATATTACGTATTATTGACAACCGGCTCAAGCTACCATACTCCTTCATTTTCAGTCTAGTCGAATTTAAATAAAGATGCAATAATGACAAAGACACACGTCCCACCAACACTGATCCAAAGGAGTTCAAGTCAGGCTTGGGGTTTGATATCAATGGAGTTTGGATCGTTTGGGTTTCAAAGGAGAGAGAGATGGAGGAAGAGAAGTAAATAAAGTAAGGAAATTTTGTAAATTGTCAAAGGTTACTATGGTCATTTTATTTGCCATTTAACAGAAATTAGGGTAAGTTTGGATGTGTTAAGGACTAATTGTAAATAAAGTTTTATTAGGAGTTAGATTCCTAATAGATTTATAGTATCATGTATATGTATATATATGTGTCCCTATTGATGAAAAGAAAACAACATATTTTTCCACATTGAATTACATGGTATCAGAGTCTTCAGCTCATTAATTTTTTTTTCTTCTGCTCTTTTAAGTTGAAACTACAGGCAGAATCTGTGTTTTTGGTAACTGTAAGTCTGGGTCACCCACCCAGGCTGGTATTTTTGTCTCAGCGCCACCCAAGGAAGAAGGGTAGGCCGCCGATCGGCTCTCCCTCCAAGTTCGGTCATCGGAACCCTCGCGAGTGGACTTCATGAGCCACTAAAATTTTTTTGCCATTCTTCACATGTCGGCGCGTGAGGGCACGTTTGGCTATCTCCTGTCACCGGCTCTCAAGTTTCGGCGTCGATTCTGCCAGTACAGTGCAGCCCAGTGTGTTGCGTTGGCCCTCTTCGACTTTTGTGGTGTTTTTCGTGTTGTACCTTTGCTATCGCTTTGCAAGGTACAGTCTGAATTTGTGAATTTGTATTCTGTTGTTACCTATTTGTTGTTCTGCTATCGAGTTACCAAGAATCGTAGTTTTCCTTTGGTGTGCTATATTTGTTTTTTAGCGTTTAGTCACAAATCATGATGACTACTGCACCGAAGACTTCTGAATCAAAACCTGTCATCATTGATGTGGTGCCATTACTGAATAAAATAACAGAACACAAACTTACTAGCTCCAATTTTCTGGCATGGAGTAAAACAGTTTGTATATATTTTCGCAGTTTGTATAAGGATGACCACTTGACCAATGATCCACCTGATGGAGATACTAGGCAAATCTGGCTTAGAGAGGATGCTCGGTTATTTTTATAGCTTCAAAACTCAATTGACAGTGAGGTAATTGGTTTAATTGATCATTATGAGTTTGTTAAGGAGCTGATGGATTATCTTGAATTTTTATACCCGGGTAAAGGTAATCTATCTCATATGTATGAGGTCTACAAAGGATTTTATCAGGCCGACCAACAAGATAAACTCCTCATATCTTATTTCATGGAATTTAAGAAGATTTACGAGGAACTTAATATTTTATTGCGTTTTAGCCCCAATGTTAAGGTTCAACAGACTCAGCGAGAACAAATGGATATAATGAGTTTTCTTGCAGGTCTTGCTCCGGTTTTTGAAACTGCCAAATCACAGGTTCTTTCAGGCAGTGACGTTACCTCTCTTCAGGAGACTTTCGGTCTTTCAGGCAAAGTGACGTAACCTCTCTTCAGGAGACTTCGCTAAGATTACTATGTACTAAAGTTTCTAATACCCCTTCCTTAAATGATAATAGTGCCCTTGTGACAGACCGTAATCAAGATAGTTAGGCAGCGAAGAAACTAGAGGAAGAGGGGAAATAACCGTAGTACATGGATACAATTAATCGAGAGGTAAGCAATGTCTTTATCTGCCATTATTGCATGGAAACCTGGTCCATGAACCTGGTCACACTAAACGGTATTGCAAGAAATTGATAAATAAGCCACCAAGGGCAAATATGGCCACTCAAGATTCTGCAGTTACTTCTTCTGACAACACTGAACAATTTCTACGGTGGAGTATGTTGAGCTCTCTAGATACCATTCTTCTAAGTCTACTAATTGCTGCTGTTGCCAATTCAGGTACTCTTACTACATGTCTTATATCTACCTCATCAGAGTGGGTCATTGATTCTGGTTGCAGAGATCACATGACAGGTAACCCTAGTCTCTTATCCTCATTAAAAGAACCTAAACAATTTAATCGTCATGTTACTCTAGCTGATAGGTCCATATCTTCTATCAAGTGTATTGGCACCGCCAATCCCATCCCATCTCTTCTGTTGTCTTTTGTTTTTCGTTTGCCTCATTTTTCGTTCAATCTATTATCTGTTATATTACTGTAGTAAAATAACTCGTCTACGAATTGTTGTGTTAGAATTTTATCCTACTATTGTGTGTTTTCAGGATCTTTTTGACGAAAGCGGATTTTGGTAAGAGGACGTCGGATTATTGGTAGAGGACGTGAGTCTGATTA